TCTTAACATGGTTTTCTGAGTTTGCACAAACTCATGTTTGACAGAACTTGGAACTTGAAGTTGAGCCAACTCAAAAATGCTATTCAGCCGGATGCCTTAGTTTTTTTAGTCCAGTTAACTTTTCATTTTTTACAGCGTGGGTTTACTTCTTCACAGATTTAAGTATGATGCACTATTGTGGTTCAGCAAGTCACAAAATTTCATGCAAATATAACACACACAGACACACGCGCACACACACACACACACACACACACACGAACACACAAACAAACACAAACACACAAACTCATTGTTTCTTCCTCAATAAATCACCTTTGCCCGCTTTTGTGCATGACTTGCCCTCAACAGCTGGATACAAAAAAAATAAAATAAAATCTACTTGTTACTGGTCAACACTTAACCAAGGATGCGTAATTCATACAATAATGACCTTTGTACAGTACCACAGCATTTGCAAAGCAATCTGTTTTAAAACATAACAAGTGTCAGTCCCCAAATTTTAAGCACCAGAAATATCCTTAGCATCTGAGGCAGAACTTGCTCATAGCTAGCCTCACCCACCACATTCTTATCTATGGCTACTCACTCCTTTCACAGTGAAAACAACCATCTCCTTTCCTCAAAGAACACCATCAGTTCAATTTGTTTCACCCTATGACCAACTATATATACTTTTTTAAAGGAAAAGTGTGTAAATGGACAGTACCTGTAAGGGTGGAGAAAATGGAGACAACCAACACCACGTAGAGCAGAAGTCCCATCTTTGTTACTTTGACAGCGTGCTCTGAATTCAGAAGTTAACTTCCTGTTTCTACAGAGGAAAAAAAACCCGTTGACTGAAACTCATGTGGGTGTGGGGGGGGGCAAATTTGCAAACCCTAAGACGGCAAAGGAAGGTCCTGCCTTTACCACGCCCCCAAACGAATTTCATTGGTTGTCCGAACACCTTCTTCTTGTGCAGCGTTGAGTGTAATCCAATCTAACCCTAACCACCAATGAAATTTGCTAGGGGGCGTGGTGAAGGTAGGACCTTCCTTTGCCATCTTAGGGTTTGCAGTTTTGCGTTGGGGGGGAGGCTTTGGTGGTCTTAATAGGCTACACTTCACAAAAAAAAAAAAAACTGCTCTGGATTTTTCGCGTCAACTTAGGTCATAGTCAACTTAGTCCAAATGATGCATCCTATTTCTTGTCTTAGCAAAACGAATTGGCAACACCTGATAGAGGTGAGTAAAAGTATCTGTAATCATTGAAAATGATTGAAAACAGATCAAGACTAATTATCAGTTTAAAGACATGTTTTTTGCCCTCCCTGCTTTCTGTCCTTTGGCCATCACTGCTCACAATACTGACCAGTAGTGGTCATGTATAATTTGAAAAATTATGACTAATTTTTTTTTTTTTTTTTTTTTTTTTTCTGAAGTAGCACATTTCAAACAATACAATAAATCGCCATGCCTTTTATAAAAGTGATGCAGACGAAAAATAAATACCTTACAATGTGGGTAATACGCAGTCGATGAGGTGAAAAGTATGAAACGCCTGCTTGCACATCGTCATTGAATGGAGAGAGTAAGATGAACGCACACTTCCTGTTTGAGTACCGTCAGCTGACGTCAAATTTTCCATCTCACAGCACAGCCTCATGCTTCAGAAGAAAACCCCAAGCAACTTCACAAAAAATAGTGCCACAGGCACTGTAGCTCACTTGGACATATGTATGTAACCTTCGAAAGATATCAAATATTAGTTTCTACATATTTTATTTTCTAAAGTAACAATGTGAAAGGGCCAAAGTGAAACATTTACATAGTTCAATTAGGAGAGACTCAAGTGAAAGCAGGAAATATTTATTATGCGTTGAGCATAATTGGATGAAACATATGCTTAGAATTAAACAAGTCTTTGGCGCTTGGACTCTTTGGGAGGACTCCTAGAGCAGGAGTACGGCTCAGAGCAGCAGCAGGAAAATCCCCCGCAGAGTCCAGACACTTGTGGCGGTGATGGCTGAAGGCTGTCGAAGCTGGATAGGCAGTACAGAAGGTCTGACGAGAGGTGGGTGGCGTTTGGGAGGAGGAGGGCCAGTGAATGGCAGCATGAGCGAACTAGGGCAGAAATATATCACATATTTTAAAAAGACAGCAGCAGAACGATTGGCTAGCCATACAATTGTGGCGTGCCTCGGTTGGATAGAGGAGATCAGCTGCAACACCAGCTGACAGCTCAATTGACAGGCCCAGACAGTGACTGCAGAGATTTACAAGTGAGCATGCATGTGAATGATAGGAAAATAAACAGAGTTGAAGTGCGCAAGAGAGTCTTCCTGATTGAACATTTGCTAAGCTTTATTTCAATCAGGAGAGACTCAAGTGAAAGCAGGAAATATTTATTATGCGTTGAGCATAATTGGATGAAACATATGCTTAGAATTAAACAAGTCTTTTGTGCTTGGACTCTTCGGTAAGACTCGTAGAGCAGGAGCACGGCTCAGAGCAGCAGCAGGAAAATCCCCCAAAAATAAGGGGAGGAAGCCCACCCGAATCACAGCCTGATGAATCCCCCAAAGGAAGGAATACTCACCAAGCAGGTACAACATAATGACCGAGAAGCACGGGCTGCTGAGATAGGAAAACATGATGAGCATGACATAGAACGCAAATGAGGTCTAAAGAGCTATACAATCCGGACATTTGCCAGCAATGGCTTTTTATTTTATTTATTTATTTATTTATTTTTTTGCGTGATGATAGCCAGCAATAGCTAGGGGCTGCAAAGCTCTGCATTTTTCCTTTTTTTTTGCGTAATGATATCCAGCTATGGCTAGGGCTGCAGAGCCCTGCATTTTTCCTTTTTTTGCGTAATGATAGCCAGCAATGGCTAGGGGCTGCAAAGCCCTGCATTTTTCCCTTTTTTTGCGTAATGATAGCCAGCAATGGCTAGGGGCTGCAGAGCCCTGCATGCAATTAGCAAGTGACAGCAGAAATACAGATGAAGCCAACCACCAACCACCAGTTATTTGCAAGCTTACCATGGACTGAAAAGGCTTCAGGGATCTTTGGGCTTTGATGATTGCAGATGCTCCGGCGGGCACGTAGGATGCTTATGCTGAAGATGACCAGCGGCCTAGTTGTTTGGGAGGCCGTAGACATACCTTGCGTAGCTACTGAAGAGCGGCGCTTATTCTGAACAAATGATCCAGGTATTGCTTAGGGCTATTTCGCATCTCAATAGGGTCTGATTTAAGTGGGTGTTAAACCGGGACTTAGAGGATTACCATCTGGAGTCAGAAAGAGGGGGGAGTCAGGTTCAGACAGTGGCCTAACCTTTAAATATTTGCACATGGATCTAAAAGGGGCAAGATACAGGACCTATGTGAGCAATAACGCCACAAGCACCACCAGCTTTAGTATGTTTGAGATAAAGACTATAGAAGTCCGGAATCAGAGCATTGCTGAGTGTAGGTGAAGGAGATTCCTTTGTATCACATGGATTCTTGGAGTATTTAAACACTGTTGATGATTTTGTTTACGAGTTATGCGTAAACTAATTGCTTTTTGTTTGTGTTGAAATGAGCATTTGATGGTGGTGCTTACAGTGGGTCTTGCAGCTGAGGTAGCTTCTGACATTGGTAACTTGGGATCCTTCTGTATCACCAGTTCTATGTTAAGTATTTATGTGATTAGGGTATAAGTACATTTAAATTATTGTTGTATCTTTTTTAAAATTCCTATTGTGTTATTAATGTATTGTATTTTTAACACCAATAAATCATATATAAGAAAGTCAAATCTGAGAAAGTGACATCTTTTGATGGATCGAATGAGCTTGATGAAGTGGTAAATTCGCCGTTCCTTAAAAACCCGTAGAAGGCCAAGAAAGAAACAAATCCAAGGGAGAGTCTATTATCCAATTTCGGGGATAAGCCTTGGCAATGCCTTTAAGCAACAATTTAATGGAAGGACTAGAATAGGCTTGGAAAAGATGGGTCAGAACACCTTGCACCAAACTGAACCCCAGCTATTAGACCTCTTATATAGTGGAGTTTGAAGTGACGAACATCAACCAATGACAAACAAGACAATCAAAGATTGCAGACCCTTGCCCCTTAAAGCATTCTCAGTGGTGACAATGACAAAAAAATTCAAGTTAAACCAATATGTAATTTTTGAGTAATACGAGCTGACAAATAGACATATGGAGAAAAATTCAGAAAACGGTTCCCAAATCCGGATCTGGATCCGGATCTAGATCATCTCAGAAGAGGACCGAGAAACGGTAGACGCCCATCACCTGTAAAACATTCAAGTTGATCTGATCAGCGGTTGTTGAGTTATTGGAGCTGACAGACAGACAGACACACACACACATATATATATATATATATATATATACACACACATACAGACAGAGCCGATTGCAATACCCTCGCTCCCCTTCCGGGCGAGGGTAATAAATGCGCAGACGGCACTGACTGTAACAGGATTTAGTGGCAAAGGCAGAGAAACACAAAACAAACATTCTCCAGCAAATCATGCAGTTTTAGAGCAGAGAGAGCGAGACCCTTTCTCACACAACCTAGCGGAATCCAAATAAGGCTGCAGGGGAGGCTGAACCTATAGAGGGGACTGCAACCGGTGTTGAGCTGGCTTTTAGGCCAAGGCTCCTGAAAACCTGGAAATTAAAGTGTGACAAGGAATCGGCAATAGTATTTGCATGACCTGACAAAAGTTTTTCTTTTTTTGGAAACCGATAGCCAGATGATGCGTCTCAGGAACTGCATGATTTAGAGTGAGGATGAGAATAGAGAATAGATACTTCATTGAACCCCGTGGGGTAATTTGTCCTCTGCATTTGACCCATCCTATAGTTAGGAGCAGTGTGCAGCCACAGAGCAGCGCCTGGGGACCAACTCCAGTTCTAAAGCCAGTGGGTGGGGGAAACCGGAGTACCCGGAGGAAACCCACGAGAACACGGGGAGAACATGCAAATTCCACACAGAAAGGCCCTAGGCTGGATTCGAACCCACGACCTTGTGGTGAGGCAGCAGTGCTAACCACCGTGCCACCGAGCCGCCCCGACCTTTGTCAATGATGCTTACTGCGGCTTCATTGTTGCACAGAACTGCGATGCGTTTGCGATGCCAGAACATGCCCCATATGCAACAGGCTACGGCAATGGGTTAAATTTTGTGCAGTGCGGAGGATTTGAGCTTAGGAAAGACCGAGGCCATTTACATGCAAACCACTGACTTTGAAAATAACCACTGAAACCGACGGAAGGGGCAGCATCGGTAAAAAACTGAAGAGAACTGGAGGAACAAACTAGATTATTGAAATCGTCATGCCAATTCAATGAGTCGATAGTCTTGACCAGAATTTCAAATCGCAGCGGCGGCCCTCATCCAGGGAAATGACGTCATGCAGTTTAGGCATGCGAACCTTGGCATTTATTGTAAACTTACCAGCTGTGTACATACTATTAACTACGGAGCATGGGAAATACAATACCATGAAAAAAAAACCTTTGGTTACGAGATAGAACTTGTAATGTAATTAACTGGTTCCTACGGTTTAGTTAATCCGTGGCAATGAGATCAGTGTACCCACGATTTACTTAACTCATGGTCACTAGATGTAAGTCGTTCCCTCAATTTAATTAAGTCCTTCCTATGATTTCATGAACTCAAATTGAGGAAACGACTTGTATCACTTGGCCATTAGAAAACTAAATCGGGGGAACAACGTGCATCTCCGGGCCAAATATAAATGTATTTTTCAAGTCCTGCTTTCGCGGGCTCCGTAGTTGTCCAACATGTGAACTAGCGCCTCGAGCATCCGATCGCATTACATGGTGCGGCAGGAAGGCTGCATCTCATCAGAACGAACAATTGATGACGCAGGCACAGAGCACGGGCTTGCATTGCACATTTGCATTGTAGAACTTTGGACTCCGTACGTGGGCGCGTACCTAACTGAGTGTGTGAAAATAATGTCCACAGCTGGTATTAGTGAGCATACATGTGAAGAGCTGCTCGCCCATGTTCATGCCTTGCGTTCTCAGTTTTTCTCAATCACTGACTTTGCTATAAACACACATATTTTGCTATTCATCATAGAAAATATCATTTCTGTGACTAGTACTTCAGAAAAAAAAAAAAAAGAATTACTGAGACCACCTTTTAATTTAATCTTAACAGAGTCAATTTACACTCATAGCATTTACTAAACACTAAATTTAAAGCATTCAAATGTAAGATATATTTAATCACTGACAACTTGAATTCTTAAAAAAATGTATGGACTCTCAACATCAGTATCATAATCACCTCATTAAACTCATTCATCATTGTTGAGCAGTCTTGTTGAGTCAAGATTCATAACTGATGAGTCACATCTCTCGTGACTATCTGATGAGTCTTAATTAAACAAATTGCAAAATTATTCCTGAATTATTGGTCAAAAATTTGTCTAAAAAATGCTGCCCTCAGATTGCACCAGAGAGCACCTAAAACCCCAGAGCTTTCATCCTTTTCTCGTTGTACCGAACTCGTACCAAACTGTGACCCCGAAACCGAGGTATGTACCGAACCGTGAATTCTGTGTAGCATTACACCTTTAGTATAAGTACTAATCAGCCGTGCTGATTGGCGAAGTGTGGAGGTGTGGACAGAGGGTAATATACCTTATTTCATTGGAGGCTGAGCTAAGGATTGTACTTTTACTGTGGCTCTTTGTGACAAAACCAAGCATAGATGCATTACTTGGAAATCCATCTCAATTATGAAATACCTCAAAAACTTGCAAAGATTTTTGCTTGGATTTATTCTGGGCCACCCATGTCAAGACTCATGTATCCACACACACGCACACACACACACACACACATGCACACACACACCCCAAACCCCCGCCCCCATTTCCTGTTCTGAATCATATATTAGACATACACATCGTTGCATACACGGAAGCAACTGCCTGCTCAAATATTTATATGCACTGCACTCAGACTACCCCAACTTTTATACATAGCAAAGAAAAAAAAAGAAACACATGCACACACACACACACACACACACACACAGAGACAATGCATCCACATATAACACTGATTTTCTAATGTTTATCACAGAGTCTTAAAAATATCTGATTAAATGTTAAACTTCTATTTTTGAATAGGATGTCCCTATGCAGCACAGGAAAAGCATTCCACACAAAAGTTGAACCCCTAAATTGCACAAAAAAGCAATGTAATGACAAATCATTGGTCCCTATAATAATAATAAAAATAATAATAATAATAATAATAATAATAATAATGAATCATACAGAAAAACAGCATGTAGATACCCCTCTCCGTTCCCAAAGAACATAAACAGATAAACAATAGCAGAAGTAAAACTATTCATTTACTTCTCTGGCATTACCCGAAACTTCCTGTTCAGATAAAGCCCGAAATCATGTGATCCGCTGCACAGTTTCTGTGCAGTCTGAGAAGGAAGGATCGTGTTAAGTTCCCTGAATGTGTGAGTATAGATCAACACAACAGTATGCATTCTCGCTCACTGAAACAAGAGCCTTAACCAAATGAGGGTTAGCTGTGAAACCTCCAGCTAATGACCACAATGCAAAATTTGCGTAAAATTAGGAGTAACCCAGTTCAGGGTTTCTCTGAAATGCTCTCAGCTTACCTGTGCTCTCTGGCTGCAAAGGTGTTTAATCACGCTTGGAGTCAAAAAGGGGTGTTTGTAAGCTCATGGACTGTAGGAAGGGGTGGAGGGGAATCATAGTTAATAATTAGAATAATTACATTAATGGAAACATTTCATAAATCATCCCATACCGCTTCCAATTAAGCCATTTATTTCTACTTCCTTCAGATGGAGTTTCAACTCTTAACTGGGACCCCCAAAGCCGCCAGTTCACTCTGTGCTGAGTGCTAAGTGTCGGCGCTTGGACCTGCAGTCAGCTGTGGAGTGCAGAGCAGTGGCTGGCAAACTGTAGCGCAGTGAATGTTGGGCCCTATATTTTGCAGAGGGCTTTGCATCAGTATCCGGGGCTTACGTATGAGACTGAAAAAGGACTGTTCCAACTGTCAACACCAGACGGCAACATCATCCTATATCAGAGTGGCGTTCAGACTTTGGCCGTGTCCGAAACAATGTACTTGCCGACTTTTGCTCAGGAGTATACTTGATTGTGAATTTGGAAAGAAGGCATGCTTTAATACCCAGATCATATATACAGTTTCGCTGAGTGTGACTCTGCCAAAAACTAATAAGTCTTCAAAATAGTACCATCTACTAATTATACAACGCCCAACCGTCCAATATACCGCCAGGTTCATAACTACATAGACATCGACACAATTTTCCTGTTATTGGCTCTTTGCACCCCCATAGTGCAATGAAATGAATTAGTCAAGATGTGGTTGTTGGAGTGTACACTTAGAGTTTTTTTATTTACAGGAATGCATAACCATTTTTACACATATCCCCCACTTTGGGGAGTAAAAAGAAGATGGCCAAATTAACATAATCGTATGATTAAATTACATTTTCTTTTTGTCATTCTAAGTAAGTGGTGGTAAATCCTGTACAGTGAATGACAACCCAAAGTCTGGAACCAACAGACATCACCCGGTGCTGTGATTCTCTGGTCATGCTCTGCCAGGCCTTCAGTGCAGCTGTCTTCAGTTCTGCTTTGTTCTTAGGCCATTTTTCCTTTCAGTTTGCCTTCACGGAGCAGACAGACCATGACCCAAAGCAAACGACAAAAGCAACCCAAGACTTTTTAAGGCAAAAAAGTGGCATATTCTACAAAGGTCAAGTCACTCACCCAATCTGAATCCAATTGCGCATGGGATTTCACTTGTTTAAGTGCCGTCCAGTGAGTTTTGAAGCAGTTGGCTCAATCTGAGCAGATGATGTAACCCTATAGAATTCATAATTCATCCATTTGCCTTTGACAGCATTCTTATCAACAAATACAAGGAGTTCAATTGACAACCATACATGCCCACGCCATAACACTACCTCCACCATGCTTTTCAGATGAGGTAGTATGCATTGGATCACGAGCAGTTCCTTCCTTCTGCATATTCTTCTCTGCCCATCACTCTGGAACAACTTGATGTTTTTCTCATCTATTCATAGGATACTTCTCCACAGCTGTACAGGCTTTTTAGACTTTTGGGCAAACAATTTTGTTCTCATATCTTTTGGTACATAAAATGATTTATATCTTGTGGTAAACTCTTTTCACTCAAGTGAAGTCTTTTCTTGATTGTTGACACTGAAACAAATACACCTACCTCTTAAGGCTTGATTCCACCGGGAGCGTCTTGGCCGCGTTACTGCCATGACGCGGTTGCCGGAGTTGATCCGCGGCCATTCTAGACAATGGTTGTGATTCCACCAGACGCGCCACGGCACGTCTCGGCAGCATCCCAGAAGCGGCTCTCCGCGCTGCTCCGCCAAAAATATGCACTGAGTCTATTTCTTCCGCTGGCGAGCCGCAGTCGCGCTGATCTGAATATAAGTGCCGTGAAAAAGTATTTGCCCCCTTCCTGATTTATTATTTTTTTGCATATCTGTCACACTTAAATGTTTCAGATCATCAAACAAATTTTAATATTAGACAAAGACAACCCGAGTAAATACAAAATGCAATTTTTAAATGATGATTTCATTTATTAAGGGGAAAAAGCTATCCAAACCTACATGGCCCTATGTGAAAAAGTAATTGCCCCCCAAATCCTAATAACTGGTTGTGCCCCCCTCGGCGACAACAACTGCAATCAAACGTTTGCGATAACTGGCAATGAGTCTTTCACATCGCCATGGAAAAATTTTAGCCCACTCTTCTTTGCAGAATTGTTTTAATTCAGCACATTGGAGGGTTTTTGAGCATGAACAGCCTATTTAAGGTCATGTCACTGCATCTCAAGCGGATTTAAGTCCGGACTTTGACTAGGCCACTCCAAAATCTTCATTTTGTTTTTTTTTTTTTTAGCCATTCAGAGGTGGACTTGCTTGTGTGTTTCGGATCATTGTCCTGCTGCATAACCCAAGTG